TATATGTAATTGAGAATCTTGTTATAAAAAAGTTATAAAAAAGTTATCCATTTATAATAAATTAGAGAAATTAAAAAAAACTGTTTATAAAATTATTGCTTTGATTCAACATTAGAAAAAAAAATACTAATTGAAAAAAATATATTTTTATATAATCATATAATCATCAGTAGTTATTATTTTGATAATTTTTTATTTCAATTTTGAAATAATACTTGATTTGTGTTAAATTATTAAAAAATTACTTTTCCTTAGCAATAAGTAAAACACAATTTATTGATTTATTCTTATTTTATTAATGAAAACGACATTTTTTGTTAGATGCAAAAAAATTACACAAAATAGATCAAAATCTATAGTAAATTGCTTCCTTAAATCGACATCTGCATCTTACATCACATGATGTAAAACTTCTTTATAAATATATATCTCTACGTATATTATCTCTTATGAGATTAATATAATTAAATAGAATATTACATCCCAATTTTTATATATATATTAAAATTGTTATTGTTATAATTTTTCCAATAATATTAACAATCTCATTAAAAGATAATATTCCATTAGAATTAAAATTATTAATCTAATTTTGAAAATAAGATCATTTTTAATTTATTTATTATATTTCGTGCTATTATAATATTGTATTCATTACCAAATAAAATCTATCTCGAAAGCATTAAACGTAATAATTCAAAAACTATCACAAATGGATGTACCCTTATCAATTACATTACAAAATGATAATTCTAATCAATATTTGATAATATCTAATCAAATCATAAAATTACGTTCATCATTGAAATCGAATAAGAGTTCTATTATAAATCTTTCAATTAAAAAACAAGTATACATATAAGCATATATAATAAATTAATCGATATGTATGCATCATCGTCCAAATTTATAAAATTTAATTATTTAAACATCGTATTTCAAGAAGGAGAATGAAATTATCGTAGGTAGCCCCAATTCGATGCACCATAGATATTGCACTGTTTCCAAGCGAGACTCGCATGAAAGAGCACTAGGATACTTGGATCGCTTGTACGCGCTGACACTCGATAAAAAACCGCTTCGAGCACGTTTAGCTCGGGTTTCATTTTGCGGAATAGCTAGGTAAATATGCATACACTAGCCTCGTGTTGAATCATAAAGCCACAAAGGCATGAAAATCTCGGAGAGACAATACTTGGTAACGAGCAGCGACTTCTTAGATCATAAGCAAGGTGAGTTTCATGGTGCGAAGTACGAAGAGTGACAAAGGGATTTGAAACCGACCGGCATGGATCGTATTACCGATTCTATTACGTGTCATGTTAAACACCCGAAGAGAGGAAAGTTTGAATGCGCTAGTTAATCTTACTCGATGATATTTGCTGGATGATTATTTCATGGTATCACTCCGTAAATGCAACCATAAATATATGAATTCTTAACAATTTTCGACGATATGATGATTTTCGAAGATCAAATATGCGATTAAATTCTATGTTACGATTAGGATCTTTCGGAGGAATGAAACGAAGTGCGAAATGATTAAGAAAAATTTTTAAATACATTTCTTTCTCATTGATAAAAAAGCGATGAATTTGATCTTCTGTAGGCAAGTTAGGTTACTGAAAATCGAAGGGAAATTTCAATTGTTAAATTTTTCCGAAATAAATTTGTATTTTTATTAAAAAATGCTTTAAATGTTTTAAACATTCTTAATATTTAAATATTAATAATAAGTTAGTAAATTAAATTAGAAATTTCAAATTCAGAATTTTTTGAAATATCTTAAAATTTTTTAAGATTTTTCAAAGATTAGAATAATATAAAATATTCTAATATCTCTATAATTAAACAGAAATAAAAAATCCAAATTGTTCACTGTGTTCGAAAAATTATTATAATTGCTATAATACTATGATTGATTAACTATATTTCCAATTTTGTATTTGGAAAAATTTCTTATATTTTAATTTAATAAAATGATTTAAAAAAATATCACATTTCTTGTTTATATTCTATTTTTATTAGAAATAGATAAAAATTTAAGTTATAAACCTGAAACTTTATGAGATCTCGAAATTTTTTTTATCTAATATTTATTTTAATAAATTTTGTTTTTTGGAATTCAATTAAAACACCATTTTTCTAAAAATTTTTGTTAAATTTTATTCTAAAAATAAGAATCTTGAAAAAAATCCAAGAAAAGATTCCTATAATTAAATTTATAAAGATAATAATCATCAGGTTAAGTTATTTTTTTAAATATTAATATAATATTTGTATATTAATACAAATATAAAAACAATGTAATTTTAAATTAAATTTTATACAAGCCAATATTGTTTGAAAATGACATATATATAATAAATAAAATTTAAACATTTTCTATATTATTTTTTTTTCTTTTTATATTAAAAATTATGAAATATATAAAGATATCTAAATAGATAAACGATAGAATAATAGATGATAGAATAAATAAGATTTAGAGATATCTTATAATAGGATATTTTTTGTTTTCTGGCTAATATATTATCATTTATATAATTATGAAAAGAAAATGAGATATATAGTTGTCTTAATATTTTCGATTTTATTGTAATATATAATAAATACATAAATAAGTTTCCAAATTAAAACAATTAAAACATTATTGATACTTTTGATTGATTATCTAATTAAATTATTTTATGGATCAATAAAATACTTAATGCTCTATAAATCCCATTATGACATATACATAAACAATATAATGTACATATATATATTTATTATATCATTATTGGAAAAAGAATTTTTTAGAGAAAAGAAAATTTTCTCATCTAAAATTATTCACATTTATTCTATATTTAAAAAGAAATGAAAAACTTCAAAAACATTGATATTAGAATTATATATTGGAATTCCCTAAAATTTACTTTATTTTGCTGTAATATTAAAAAAATTTATCTTATTTTTTAATATTAAAAATAGTGAACAATTAATCGTGTACAATAATCGATTAATATTTCAAATATTAAAAAAAACTAAAAATAATAGTATAATCTAAAAATCAACTTATTTTTCTTAGTGTAAAAGTAAATATCATTCTTTTTATTTTGAATAAAATTTTTAAAAAATGAGATAGAAAAATTCATTATTTAATTTACATAAAATATACGTTATATTATCAAGAAGAAGTAAAAAATACTTTATCTTGTAAAATTTAATAATATCAAATGTTTTGAAATTCAATTCTAAAACAAAAAAATATTTTCAAAAACAATTCAAAATATTTCAATGATAAATTAATTTCAAATATAATTAAAACATCAAATATATTAAATATTTAAAATATTTATAATATTTTACATTTTTGATGAATTTATTCTCTTATATATTCAAAAATATATTGTGCCATGCACAATAATTAATAATTTTATTTTTCAATTATTTTTATAATTTTTGAAAAATATGTTTAATGTAATATAATCCAGAAAAACACAGTGAAAAAATTTCTTTTTAATATAAAATATTAAATAATTCATTTCCATTTGAAAACATATATGTTTAATATAATACAAATCAAGTATTACACGTGATTCATATCTTATTAAAGAACTTGAAGATGATTAGATATTGTAGTTACATATAACTGAACATGTATCTAATTTCAATAATATTTTAGAAATTCATTTCTCATTTTTTTTTTATAAATAGTATGCAGATTCATTATATGATTATTATATGATACTATTTTACATTTATATCTATATGCGCGTTATCTAGATATTAAGATAAGCAAATTTATTTTTTCTACAATTTTATTTTTATTTTTTATTTTATGAGTAAAAGATATTTTTAAAAACTATAATAATGATTGATTATTTTATTAAATTAGTTCAGTAGTATCATTAAGAATTTTAAAAATCTACATAAAAACATCTACAAAATAGATGAGTAAGATATACGAGTACACTGAAATTAGCACTAACTTCACGATAACTATACTAATTTTAGAAAAACGGTTCTCCTTCTGTCTTTTGTAAAGCTATCGTTCTATGGATTATTGACAAGATATCACATCGAATTAATTTTCATCATTGAAAAAAAATTTTCTTACGATATTTCTGTTAATTTCATTAAACTAATAAAGTGCAGTATGAAACGAGAATAAACGTTATAAAAATCATATTCACGATAATTTCTCATATGGGAAAATCGATTTACTCAATCAGCAGTCCACAAAGCAGCGATAATAATAAAACGGCTTTTAATATCTTGGCAATTTTCTAAAAATGTTCACGTCTCTTTTACATACCGCTAAGCTCGAAAAACGTGTGCATGATCGTTAACAAGTACACGACAATGGCAGCAATGTAGCAACGCAAGATAACCTAGAGGGCTCGCGACGAAACTTCGAAAGCAAGAACTACAATTTTTCGTTCATTAATTAATCTCGCTAATGTATTAAGTAAGATAAAATAGACGGAAATAAAGACAATGAAAAATATAAAGATTCTCATTTCGAAAAACTTGTATACAGTAATTGGCCGGTAGAAAAGAAAATGTAGTGTAGCTATGGTCGAGAACTGTCAAGCGCACGCCGGTTAGACTGGGTCAACTACACTCGTGCCCTCCGATCGTTCGTCAATCTTACTCAGAACAGAAACGATGATCTAGTTGAGATTCGTATGATTTGAGACAAGCGTGAATGAAGCGAAAGAACGAAAGAAGTGAATGCATTGTTATCAACGATAAAAAAAAAAAGACGGCACACCCGATAATTCGATCGCGACGGTATGGCAGCCATGGGTCGAAATAAGATAGAGAGAATGGATCGGAACGGAACGGCACTGCACGGTACGGCGTAATTATAGTAAAAAAAAGAATTACCGAACACTAAACACTAGAGTATTGAAATATATAGAAAAAATATAGCATCTCGTAATCGATAAAGATAAAAATGATAGAAAGTGTTTTGAAAAAGAATTTCTCCGTAGATCAATGATTAAACTCACCCAAAAGTAGCAGCTTAAGTTCCCGCCTGGCATCTCGTTTATCCTTTCGGAGTTGCCGCTCGATCTCCTGATTGATTCGTTTCTGCTCCCTCGCCTCTTCCGACAGGCAGCACGCCATAGCTCAGGACGGCAGGATCCTCGATAGATGGAGGAGGAAGAGAGGAGAAAAATGAGGAGGAAGAGGACGAGGAGGAGGAGGAAAAGGAGGAGGAGGGAGGAGAGGGAGGGAGGAAGGGAGAGAGGGAACAAGCGATTTGCGGTGGTAGCGAGCGATTGCCGAGCGGCGAGGTTCGTCGTAGACAGCAGCGGGCTCGACGGCACGATATCGTCGTCGGGCCGATATTACCTTGCCACCGCGAACGAGCGACGACGTCTCGTCGCCGTCCTCGTGGTTTCCTTCTCTTCTTCCTTCCTTTTCGTTCTGGTTAAGCCGATGAAACCGATCGTCTGCACCACCACTACCGCCACTAGCACGAATCACTAGCACTTGTCCACGCTGACGACGACGACGACGACGACGACGACGACGACGACGACGACGATAACGTGTATGAGGACGACGACAACGTAGATGTAAATGTAGACTTGATAGTCGCGTCTCCGAAATCCCCGTATTCTCAACGACGTCGGCACACGCGGCGACGGAGCACTCCTGGCAGGGCTCGACGACGCCAGCGACACATCAACACATGTACGCACACGCACGAACCTCGGCCGGTAGCTTGTGTCTGTCCTCTCGCCTTTCCTTCCCTTCTTTTTCTTTTTCAATCTTCTTCAATTCTCTCTCTAGCTTTACTCTCCCGCTTCTTTCTATATTTTTTTTATGCTTCTCTTTTCTCGTTTTTCTTATTCTTTATTCACGCACGCACGTTCTGCGACGAAACGTGAAACGCACTCGCGAGAGACGTCGAGGAAGCGGGGGAGACACGCGCGCACACGTTTAGCCTTTGCTCACGGCGTGACTTCGACGATTCTGGTAAGAGACGCGAATTTCGCGAGAGCGAGGTCCGTTGGATCGAGATCTAGAGAGTCCCGACTGTACTCCGTCGAATCTCGATCGTCGGTCCCTGGGTCCCCCGCTGTACCCGCGTACTACTCGCGAGAGAGCTCTCGTACGGCTCGTTCACTCGTTCACTCGGTCCCCGGCGCGGTTGGGTGTGGTAACCCACCGGCGCTCTATCTCCTTCTCTCTCAGCTGCTCTCTGTCTCTCCCTTACACTCTTTCTCTCTCACCCCCTCTCTGTTTCGTTCTCCTACCCTGTCTCTTTCTTTCTTCGATTCACGCTTTCTTTCTCTCTCTTTCCTTCTTTCTCTCTCGCTCTGTCTCTCTTTCTTTTTCTTCCTCTCCCTCTCTCTCTCGCTTTAGGGTACTCTTTCTGTACCGCACACGCGACGAAATAGATTCACACTGAATATGCACCGTGTGCGCACACACGCAACCTATACGCGACGTATGCCAAACGACGAACGCGATTACGAGGTAACGTAGACGGAAACAACGAACCGAGAACGATAGAATAGAAGACGATGACGAGGTCGTCTGCTGTTATTGCCGTTGCTGCACGAGCGCCCACACCTCGAGCGGAGCAACTCCTCTTGCGATTCGCGCCGCGCCCGCTCGGTACGCAGCCTTTTATCAACCCTCGGTCGCTCGAGAATCCTGTTAGACCAAACCAGATTGGCGAAGCCCCGACACGGTAGGTCGTCGTATAGTGGTGTATAGGCGCGGGGCGCGCACGTGTCCGCTAACGAGATTAAAATCGGCGAGAAGGAGGAGGTGCGGCCGCCACCCGCTAGGGAGGAGGCACGGAGAATGTAACAGCGCCGCGGTGTTTCGGATATAGGTTATACTCGTTTCTGTACAACCGACCGATTCTGACGGTTTGCAGCGACACGGCCACCGTCGCTGCTCGCTCCAAGTGATCACGCGCGCACTCTCTTATTCTGTCTCTTTCTTCTTCTCACTCTCTTTATCATATCATCTTTCTTCTTTTTTTATTGTCGGATCACCCCCGATTACCCTGTCGTTCTGTATTTCTTTCTATCTCATGTATATTTCACCTCTATTCTTACCCTTTCGTTTTTTACGCCGGTTTCTTGCATGTTATGGGTGCGTTTAAAGCAAACGTCGTGTTTTTCCATCGATTCTACTTCGTCATCGAAGAATATATACATATGTACTTTCTTGAAAGACTGTCAAAGTATCTTCGTGTGAATGCACTTTGTACACCAAATGATACGTGTCAATTGCTGATCACTGAAAATATACCATTGAAATTATTGTGGAATCAATCATGAATTTGTCCGATAGCGATAATATTTTTACAAAACATAGTTTACGGAATTTAAAAATTATTATCGATAATTTTATAATTTTATATTATAATTTTATAACATAAGATATATATATAATTTTTATGTATAAATTAATTTTTATAACATATACACACATACACACAACGCATACAATTGTATGGATACTAAAATATATACAATAAATGCATTCTAAAAATATAATTATTTTCATTTCATAAATGAATACTTTATTTGTATATAATGTATATAATATATTCATAATAGATACACATATCTATTATTTAGTTTCATTGTTAATCGTAAATTATAAAATATTTACTTAATTCCAGTTTCATTTTTTATTTATATGTAATTATATATGTGAAATAATATATTATATAAATAATAAAATAACAAATTAATATTTATTAAGATATTAAAATTCAAATGTATTACATTTAATTAAGATGTCTTTTCAATAATTATTTTAAGTTTTTATTTAAATAACCTTAAAGAGATTTTTTGAGATTTCTAACAATAGATGGCGCTTAAGATATATTACGTTCAAAATATAAATTTTATAAATTTTTTTCTATAAACAATTAAATAATATTTTTTAAAATGTTATATTTTATCTAATTTGTATGATTAATATATATAACTTTTTATATTTTTTCTTTTTTCTCAATCAATTTTCGAATTTTTTCTTTTTAGATTAATAAATTATTAAAAATATAAATGCTTTAAGTAATGTAATCTACTTACTATGCTATTTACATAATTTAAAAATAGATTAATAAATATTTCAATTTTTTGTATATTTTTTTATAATATTATAAAATAGAAACAATTGTCCAATTTGTGTCTATCTAATGATCATATTTGATTAAGATTATAACAAATAACTAAAATATGAATTTCATTTAAAAATTATATGAATTCTTGTACATTAAAAAACGAATAATTGTAAATGTAATGAAAATTATAATAAATGAAAATAAATAAAATATAAAATATAATGTTTAAAATATATTTCTACAATTTAGATTTTAGTAGCATGGTTAAACCTATAATCATTTATAATAGGATTAGTATATATGTAAGGTTTCATGAAATGTATTATTTGTGTTTTCTATTTTCTTAAACTAAGGATAAAACAGTTGCTATACTATCAAGGCCAATGTTATTTTCTGGTTTATTTCAGCATTGTTCATCATCAGTAACATAATTTATTTTACATTTTTGGCATAATTTAGGTTTGGGTGAATCTTCATCATGGGAAATTGTTACTATTAAATATAAAAATAAATCTATGATAAATACAAATATCATTGTATAATTTTATCATATGTCTATTACCTGTATTTGTATCATTTTTATGAAGTTTTTCTCCAATTGATTTAAATAATATTACAATTTTATTATCATCATCTGTATTATTATAATATTTCTTAATCTTTTCAAAACCATCACAAAGAGCCATTAAACGTCTGTAATAATTAAATTATTTATAATTTATAGAATTCTTTTCTAATTTTTTGAAAATAAATCATAAATTCTTATTTATACCATACATGTTTATTACTTTTGGTAATTCCAAGTCTAATATACATCTACTTTGTTGATAATTATTTAAAATATCATCATATTGCTGATGTAATTTCTCTAATTCTGATATAGATAATGTAAAATTAGTAAGAAAATTTTTGAAGTTTTTTGTTGCTCTATAAAAATCTTTTTTTTTTATATAATGATTATTCATCAATTCATTAAAATGTTTTGGAAGTGTTATGAATTTCGAACAATGTTCTATCAAATCTTGTAAGATAATTAATTTATTTTCTTTTTGTGCTTCCAACTATTACATATACATATATATTAATATTTAGTAAATTATGTATATTAGATTATATAAATAATCGATTAAAATATATTTAAAAATATATTGTAATTATTTTTATATACAAATTATGATTACAATTTTCAATCTTATATTTTATATGTATGATAATTAAAATCATTATACCTGTTGAAGATGCATTGTTAAATGTAAAGAATCAGATTTGGAATTTACAGAATATGATTGAGGAAGTGTCAATAAATGACTAATATTGAGCACTCTACATGCAGCTAATTGAGATGATTGCAAAGATTGTCCATACTGTGCAAGAGCTTCAAGAGCAGTAATACTTAAATTTAGATGTTGTAGTAAAGCTGCTTGTTTATCTTCTGCTAAAGATTCTTCTATTTGAGTTCCTGTCAAATGTAATTCTAAATTTTCTCTTATTTTTTCAGATTCTTGACATTTCAAACATTTCAGTTTCTATAAGTAATAGATACAAATATGTGTTATAAGCTTTTTTATTCTATCTTATATACATAAAATATGTAATAAAATATTGCCTTAACATTTTGTGAGTCATAAGATTTCATTTTTTCATCATAATGTTTACGACATAAACAGTAATTTGATGAAGTTTTTTTATAAGATACACATTTTTGTGTTGTTGAAAATAATTGTGATGACAATTCTGATGGATACAGAGAAGGTACTATTTCTTCTTCCGATATTGGTGTGCAATAAAAGCAAGAATTATATAAATTGGGATCACTCCATCGTTTATATTTTTCTTGAAATCTTGACATTTTCTAACTTTTTAAAATAAATTTCTATTCTTTATATCTTTAATATTAATTTTTGTCATTTAAATATAACAATTTACTTACATAATGAAATTATTTATTAAAGAAATATATTATTATTTTAATACGTTTCGAAAACTGAAATTTTTCATAATTGAAATTTCTTCATTCTTATTATCTTATTATCTTATAGAAAGTAATATTTGATAGATCGATATAAGGAAGGAATTTTCAGGTTGAATATTAAATAGAACACATATTTAAATCATTAACACTTATGTTACAAACCAGTAATTGTTTATTATAATCGTCTTCAATTGAAAAGAACAATTAAAGCGATAAATATATATACGCATTATAGTTTATATTAAGGTTATAAAGATATGACTAATTGTTTCGATAAAATAAACAACAAGACATAAAAATGACAAATGATATAACAATTGATTGTTCCACTGCTACACTAAATTTTAGACCTCAGTATTATTACTTGAGTGAATTAAGAATTTTAATATTAACAGATGTTGTTATGTTATATTAATAAATAAATAAATACAACATAAAGAAGATAAGTAGACACAATTATTATTTTTTAAATATAATTTGTTATTTAATTATTTATTTTTTAAAAGTTAAATCGATTTTATATAAATATATTAAAATGGTATATTAAGTATAATTTTTTTTGATATGATTTTTTAATTATAATTTATACTAGATTATATAGAATATTATCAAATTTGTGATATACATTATTTTTATTAAAAATAAGAAGAGAGATATATTTATTACTTATCTTCCTTAAGTTAATTAAATGCATTTGCTTAATTTTCCAATAAATTGAATAATTTATTATATTAAATATATATTGATAAATCTACTGCCAAATAATTAACACTATTTATATTATTGCTAAAATGTGTATAGTTTTAAATATTTTTATAAAGATTTCTGTTTTTAACATTTATAACTTTTTAAAATAATATCAAAATTTTAATTTTAATTCATTTTTTGACTATTATTTGTATAAATGACATCACATTCTTGATATATAAAATACTGTATCAATTTGGCACGTTCATAATATATATTAAAGATATTTGTTTTTTAATTGTTGCACATTATATATAAGAACGAAATAAAATAATTTAAAATAAACACTTTTCATACTTCACTTTTAAGTTATGTAAGTATTAATTGTAGTGTAATATAACAAATACATATATCAAACCCAATGAAACAAATTATGTTTAAATTTTATATTGATTATTGAAATAAAATTTTAACAATTATTATTTATCAACAATTGTTATGTTAACAATTATTTATTTATCAATAATTGAATGGAATGTACTTATGTATTTATTCAAATTATATAATAAATTAACTGTAAAAATAGTGAAGCATGATGTGTTGTATCATAAAATTATTGTTATTATTTTTTTGTATATTAAATTTATTATATATATATTTTTGATATGAATTGAAAATTCATGGAACTTTTGCACGAATTACTAGTCTAATTACTAGACTAGTTACGTTTAGTTAAAAACAGAATACATTGATGATTATTGGTTTATTATTATTATTATTAAAATTTTTTTTTATTTTTTCATATATTTTTCTGTTGGTCCACTTCATAGAATATAAATATTAATCCATATATCAAACATATATTAGTCTGTTCACTATCATTATCATAATTACATAATTGTAACATATAATCAATATATTTTTTTAATCATGCACTTGCAATGTTTCACACTTTAATTAACCTACAATTTCGATTTGTACATGGGGTTAATAGTTAGTGTGACAATGGATCAATCGTTCAACCATAAAACTTTTCATTTATAAACAATCCAACTTTCTTATGTTCTGTATCTTAGATCATTACAATAAAATAAAAGGACACACAACTTAATGGAAGCTGAAATCAATAGTCTCCTTGTACTATTTTATAATCGTCTATTATCGTAATACTAATTTTTATGTAAAATTTTCTTAATAAATCTATTTAACGAGTATTAATTAACACTACAAATTGTTTATCTTGATTGATATTAATTCTATTCTTGTTATAGTAAAGGCAGTAATAATTTAATTAATCACCACCATCCTATTTTCTATACGTATACTGGAAAAATATCATTGAATTAGTCACTGAATAAATATAATGTATACATATTATTAAAAAATATAAATAAAATTTTAGAAACACAAATCTTCAAATATGTATATATTATTAATTGAATATATAATACTCTTGTCAATAGAATTATATAGAAAATTCTGTTGTTCTCTCTTATTATTTAAATATTTTAACATATTGCATTTAACAAAGTATCAAACTAGGGATGTATTAATTGTATGTTTCATTATACACATATTATCGAAAATTTGTTGTTGAAAATTTGGCATTTGTCATTTATGTTAACATTTTAATTTAACTTTCGTTTTAATTTTTTTTTCAATAAACAAAATCTTAATGCAAATAGGTAATTAAATTTTTAAGATTTGATGATTCTCTGCCAAAAGAAAACATTATAATATTTTAAACATTACATTAGCTCTTACTAATAATTTCAGTAGCCACAAAGTTATTTCATAAAATATTCTTAAAATGTATAATTCTATGTACAATTTCATAAAATAATATTAATTTAATATATAAGATTTATATTATAGTACTGCATGATGTATTACAATATATTATTTAATTACTTAAATATTTCATTTGATTATTAATGATGTGTATTCGTACATTGGATACAGGGAGAATAATCCCATATTATAAACAATGAATGTTGGCACAGACAGTGGCTGGGTTAAGGCACTTTGGGGTGTTTAATTTTCCACAGTACCTCCAGCATAACTATCTTATCACACCCCTTTCTCCTTCCCATTGCCCCTCATTGTTATTAATATTAATTATTTTTTTTTTTTATATATATATATAATATCTCAGATGACTGTGTGATTCTCACTTTTAATCTTGTAACTATTCTTAAAATAGAATACGCCGTTTTAGTGAGCATTGGAGTGTAATAGACGAATTTAATAAAGCTTTCACAGTGGTTTCGTGAAATTCGCTGGAAACATACCCTTTTCATTCGTACCTTCTTTGATACCCATTAACCAACCTTGTTCCTAGATAATAAAATATTTTGTTATATTTATTATTATTTTAATTATAGTATTATTATACTTTATTATATATTTAATAATATTATTATTTCTATTATAAGTATTATATCAAAAATTATGTATATATTGTATATTATATACTTATATATCTCAAGATATAAATATATAAAGACATAAAATGACAAAATATAAATTTTAAAATAGATTATTAAAAAAATATAAACCTGTTCTTCTGGATCATCATATTCTACTACACGAATAATATCACCGACATCAAATGACAATTCATCCACATCTTCGCGTCTATATTTGTAAGTAGCCTTGACTCTGTATAAAACCCCAGGTGGCAAGTTGTCAGTCGTTGCCCCTAGAGAGAAATTGGTACCATTTTCATATTCCACCTCTAAAATAATTGAATCCGCCTCATTAGTCATGGACCTGTGATATAGTTCTATTTAAATTCTAACTTTCATTGATCAAATCAACATACAATTATTACAATTTTTGTGTAAAAATTTTTATGCATAACTGAAAGTCAGAATTAAACAAATAGTATTTCATTATTTCAACAAGACCATGCATAAATGGGCAGGCAGCATACTTATATGGACACAATATAAATTTTACATATACATTTTTCACATATTACATATTATGTATTTTGGAAAATTGTTTTATTTTATTTATTTTTAATCTTGAATGAATTTTAATTCTTGTTTTAGAGATATCAAAGATAGCAAAACTAATAATTTATATTTACATTCTATTAGATATTTGTGCTTACATGTGCTTATATATGCTTGCTAAAAGTATGAATGCAATAAAGTATATTATACTTACGAAAGAATAGTTGCGCAATAAATTATTATTATATAAATTATAAGCAAATGAAATTCATTCAATAATATATACTATTATTTTCTTACATTGTATATTATAAATTTAAATCATAATATTGTTTTTTATCAAACATAAAACTGTCCAAATTTTAGATAATCAGAATCAAATTTAATTTATTAACATATTAAAAAAATATTTTTTATGAAATTATTTTTATACAAAAATTCTTAATATTAATGTTCATCTTTAAAAACGAGCGTCGCGTAATCAATGACATTTACTCCTACGTTACATACTTACCAACAGGAATATCATACAACTCTTCTACTCGCTTAGAGGCCGTAACTGTGTTTTGCGGAGATGCATCCTGATTATTGAGAGAATTATCATTGCTGTTAGCATTGCTGTTAGCATTGCCATTTAATTGAGTAGTCGGTGATGTGTTTCTTGCTGCTGGAGCAGAATCATCCACGGCTGTAACATGCAATAAAGCTCACTCAAACTAAACATTTAGCCACATAATTATGTCTGCAGGAACGTCTTATGTGGCATTACAACTACATTACACTCATGCACAAAATATTAGTACACAAAAAATTCAAATGCACAAAAGACGCATATAAATAACAGGTATATATTTACCTGGTGAAATGTTATTCTGAGCTGGTTGTGTATTGATTATTAAACTAAAACATAAAATATCTAGTATGATATATCATAATAATATTGAATAATAATTATATGTATATAAATTATTATTTTATTTTTTATATATAAATTAAGTTTTATAAGTTAAACTTTCTATTCAATTATTGTACTTACGCAGAATTGGCGTTAGGTGATTTTGGAGACTGAGGTTCTGTATTCTTCTTCAGTGTATATGATCCTCTCTGGCTTTCGTTAGCAAGTTTATCGACGATTGCTTCTAACTCAGAATATACCTAAAATATAGGAGCATAAAATAATATTGAACAAAGACGAATAATTTACAATTTAAAATACAATATATTTACAGAATATATATACATACCTTAGCACTTTCAGTGTGAAATACTTGTTCAGCAGCAAACAATGTTTGCAAATTAGTAACAAGAAAAAGAACACGTGAATCATATAAGGCAGGTAGTTCATCATGAAGTTCGGAATTAAGTTGTTCATATGTACGCTTAGCTTCTTCCAATAATTCTTTTCCTCGAGAAACTTTGAGTTCATCCCGTTTCCTTGGATTACATTGTAGTGATTGGAAATTATGTCTTTGACTGTCATAATCTACCAACTTCCGTCCACGTTTGTCAATTTTTTTCTGCAATAAATATAATTATTCCCATTTTATAATTCATATTAATTTCAGATTCAATATTAATTTAAGATTCTATTAAAATAATATTAATTCTATTAAATACTCTGTAAAGAGTTACACAATTTTGGGGATAATTTAGAGTTAGAGTGAAAAGTATACCCTCATTTCTGGAAATTGGCTCTGATATGTGTTGAGAGGCACGAGAACTTGATCCGCAAGTTTGTGAGTAAAATCTTGCCACAACATATCGAGATTTTGAGCTTGCACATATAAAAGATCATGGCCAGTCCATTGACTTTCGTAAATTTCGTTTAAAGAATCCATGAGAGTTTTAGACGCTGCTTGCACCGCTGTTAACATAATTAATAATTTCATAAATATTATTAAATTACATAATATTTCTACAATAGTTTTAATTTTAATTAGGGATGAATTCTCAATTTCCTGATTCTCAATTTCAGATTCAGATTTCGTGAAATTTGAATCTTAAAGTTAAGGTTTTGAAACTTTTCGAAACTTTTAAAGTTCGAAAAAAGTCTCGAAACATTTTTTTTTCCTTTTTTCTCTGTTTTTGAGAAATGCTATTTTGTCAAGAATTAAAATTTTAATAAATTTCTAAAAGTTTTTAAATTCAAGTTTGCAATTAGTACAACAGTAATGATAATGGGCGAATAAATTTAACCATAAAATAAAAATGAGTCAACAATTTAAACACAAATTATTATTAATTATATAATATATTATATAATATAATAATTTACATAATATAAATTATTCTTTCTATAATTTGCACAATTATAATTCTTTTGAACTTCGATTCATCATAAAAACTACAAATAAACTCTATGAATTTCAAAAGATCGAGCTTCACTAAAAAAAAATATTCAAAAAATTAAGTTTTCGGAACAAGATCAAAAATTATACGTTTCAAAACTTGAAATAGAATCGTAGTAACACTAACTCGTCTGTCGAAGTAACTTCAAGGTTACATAGCGCGTAATCGTTAAATTCCTTTTTCATTTAAGACGTCAACGTTGCGTCGGAAATAAGGAATTGTTGAGAAATTGTAATTAAACGTGTAGGCATAACCAAACCACGCAACTGAAAATTTTTTTATATCGATTTTTTATTTTTCTATTCAGGAAACTATTTCTTATTCAGGAAACACGATTTTGTTTCCCTAACAAACGTATGATTAAAGTTAATCGCTTTATTAATCTACTTTCGCTCACAAGTGCATTCACTTATTGAGGTATGACAATTTTACGATATTATTCATGGATTCAAATCGTGGAAACTCAGAGCATGTTAATTTGTTTGTGAAAAATCTATTTTTGTTTATGAAAAAAAATATCTTTTTGGTATCATTGAATGCTTTGAAATGATTAAAATGAAGTGTTCGAAGGATTTTATTTTCATTGGAGTTTCAATTGGAAAAGATATGAATGAATGGATAGATAGATGCTCAAAAATAAAATAATAGATTCATTCAATGGCAATAAATAATGATTGAAAATTTAACAAAAAAATGAATATATAAATATCAGTAAAAAAATAAAGAATTGAGAGAAATTATATGAATTTTTTTAATTTCAAATGTTTCTTCAATTGTTAATACGAATTCTAATCGATATCGATATATTACAATATGGCAAGTGTATTGATAAAAGTTTCAATGTTTTGATCAATTAATATAATCATCATTTTTTTCGTCACTTATTTAACATAAATTTAATATTTTTTTAATATCATGATTTTTTTTTTATTATTGTGATAGTGAATTAAATTTTATTATTTTGTGCAGACACATGGTTTTTTAAAATTGATATCAAATATTAACATTTTCTTTTGTTCAAACTATGATAACCTATGTTGAAATAATTAATTCTGCGAAATATTATCAATAATTGGAAATGTAAATAAAAAAATTAATTCTGATAAATTGCAAATATCTGTTTCAATTATGTTTTAATGTAATGTAAATTGTACACTTTATGAAGTAAATTGGAATATTTTAACGAATCTTGCATATTCATTTTACAAAATTTCAATGCAATTATTTATAAAAAATTCCAATCTTTAAAGTTTTAAAAAATCTGAATTTTGAATAAAAATCGAGTACTCTTTATAGTAAAAAAATTCAATGTCATAACAATGGAACAAGATCGTCAAGAATAATGACGATTATATAAATACTTAAACGAAAGTTATATATTTGAATATTTTAAAAAAATCAAATATTTTTTATAATAAAAAAATAAAATTTGTATAACAATGAGAAAAGATCATACAAATACAAAACTTTTTATCACTAATTAAGCCATCAAAATTTTTCTAGTTATCTAATAAATATTCTCCATGCTTCTTTTCCCAATGTTTTTTTTCAACACAATATATTCTAAATGAATAAAAGATCTTTGCATTTTTCAATTCGCATCGATAATTCCCACCGTGAAATTTTGCTTCGTGATTAGACTTCCGTCAAATTTTTACGATTCTCCTCTAATGCATAACAAGTAAATATGTCTTTAATAATTGTACATAGATATTTGCTTTAGAATTTGCGAGAAATACGATATCTTGAGTTTCAAGATCGGAAAAAGATTTGAAAAAATTCTCGATTTTTAGGAAAAAAAAAAAAAATCAATTCTCTAATGGAATTTCGCGAATTCTTGAACAACGCGATTTATCAGAAAAAGCAGAAAGAAGTCGCGAACGTGCGTATCTATCGACAAGTTTTGCGTTGGCCAACCATTGGTACAGCGCATGCGGGTATTTATGTGCGAATGCTGTTATGTGCCGTCTCGACTGATAAAAGGAAAGGTAAAAGGCATCGGCGTAGAAACGAATTTCCGTGAAAACTTACGAACGCGGCACGATTCTTGAAAACTGATCGTTTCCTTATTGCAAATCCTGTCAGTGTAACGAAATCTTTCCTTTCTTTTTTTTTTTTTATTTTCTTTTCTCTCTTTTCATGAAACTCTTTTCTTTACTACGCTTCAGGCATAATATGTTAATAGTACAGTTTACAAGGAAAATCTATAAATCAATAACACAAGTTCAACAGGATATGTTTATCGCTTATGAATGATGTAGACAAATTTTACGATCATAATGGTTGAGGAGGAATTGAGGACTTTGCCAACAAGGAGCGGATAATCGTTTATAATGATTTTAAAATTAGAAAATTATTGTTTGGATTTGTAATTTTTATAATTACTATTTTGACTTAATATTATCAGAAAAGTTTTTAATAGCTGGAAAAATATGTATTTATATAATTTTTTTACAAAAATTTGATACATATTAAGAAAAATATTGTAATCTTAGTTTTCCTGTAGATTCTTTCATTCTTTAAATGGAACTTCAATTTTTCAAATGGAACCGTATAATTTTTAATGCGCTGATCGATGTAGTTCATTATTTGCTATAATATAAAAATATTTTAAAATTGTTTATATCAAAAAATTATTTTATAAAAAGATATTTAAATTGAATATTGTTTACAAAACTTATTGTATGAAAGATAAAGAAAGTATAAATATATCACTTCGCGTGTTTTTTTTATTTTTCATACGTAAGTTTTATAAACTTCGAAATAAAAATATATTTTTTAAATTAATGATGTTTTAGATAAATAGTTACTTAAAAATTTTTTTAAAGGAAATAAATTATTGTTCTATCTCTATTTGTAATTATAATAAAAAACAATAACACTTCGATTTAATTTATGATAATATATAATTTATAATAATAAAATGGACAAATTTAATCATGAACTTGTTTAAATTTAAAAATATTATAAATTATGATTTACAATTTTTATATTATTTTAATATAAAAAAACATTATATAATTTTAATCAATTTCAGAAGCTAAAATATTAGTTGAGACTATTTATTAAGTTATAAGCAATTTAAATTTTCATTAAATGAAGCAAGACACATATAATATAACAAGTGTATAGACGTGAGACAATTTTATTCGCATCATACCATCATTATACCTTTTTTCATCTAATCTTAAATCTTAAATTTTTTATAACTAATTATATAAATCTTAAGTGATATTTTTATACATCAACTTTTATGTTTGTTTTAGTTTCTAGAATTAATCTAGGTTCTATATATTAAAAAATATGGAAAAAATACGATATTATTATTTTTTTAATATCTAATTATTAATTTTTTTAATTATCTAATAATCTTAAATTGGCTTTACCTATCGTAAAGTAATGTAAAATTATAAAAATAAGAAAAATTACTATTTGTTGCGAACTACGCCATTGATACAGACGAACAAGAGGTTCAAAGTGCTCGATGCTGTAAGTATGTGCACATCCTGATATGTAAATTTTTTCTGTTCAACTGTGATTTATTTGAATATATTTGCTTCTTTAATGCAAATTGCTTAGAAGCATACATTTGTGCATTTTGAAATGAAACTAATAAAAAGATCATAAGATCGATGTGTTCATCGATATTTTTACAAATTGCTTAAATTTTATACTGAAATTTCTTAAAATTATTCGTTTGATATTATTATTTGTCCTATTTTTATGTCTTCAAATCGAAAGGAAATAAGATATTTTATATTTCTATTCTCTCTCCTACCTCCTGTCTCCGATTTCGTTAATGCTCGTAATTCGTAATAAACGTTTCTCTCGAAACAGCGCTATTAAAATGTCAGATATGTTTCCCTCAACGATTGACGTTTCTACGAGTGCCGCGTAGGGCCTGCGCAGAGACGACGGTCGTTATTCAATGTCTACTATGTTATTCATCCAACTGTCATTCATCCACGAAACTTGTTGACGAAATGGAGTAGCGCACTATCCACAACTTTTTTCCAACGGTATTGTAAACGGAGTTGTAAATTTAATTTCGCCGATATCACGACCAGAAAACTATGTATCGGACGTGATTTGTCCCATTTATAACTCAAAATGGTCGATAGGATTTGATCTGCAATAGAATTAGAAATTCTTTCTGAAAAATTGTGACGATTTTTGATCGTCGAGTTTGAACATTTGTTTATTTCATATATAATTCCATCGTTTTATGGTATTAACAGTATCTCACTGATTTCTTTAACAAATGAAAAAGGGAGAAAGAAGGGAAAAAATGATTATCTCACTAGAGATTCTGAAAGCGTGGTCGCCATTTTTTCGATTTTAATTTTTCATTATTAATTTAATCTTTTTGTTTTCTAAAAAAAAAATACTGTGATGAAAGAAATTTTGGTCAGTGAATATTTTGCAATAAGTTTAAATATGAAAAAACAAAACAGAAATAGATGAAAGAAGATATATTAGAAGAAGATTATATTTGATTGGCAAAAATATCAGAAGAATAAGCATTATTTTTTGTGAATTCATAATAACAAATATTAATAATCTAATATTTCTTGATATTTCCATGTATATTTATTTTCTTTTACGTATATTATCATTACAGTTATTAATTATATAACCAAAGTTCTTTTTATTGTTTTGATAAAAAAAAAAGTTTAAATTATTTTCTTTTTTTTTGTATATTTTTTTTCTTAAGACTAATTTCTATAATATTTATATTATATAGCATTTCAAATATATAAATTTCTATAAATATAAATAAAATAAAATAAATAAATAAAATATAAATAAATAAAAACTATAATCATTTTTTAATAATAATTTTTTTAATAAATTTTGCGTTTTACTAAGGACAAGATATGGAAAAGAAAAAGTTGCTCAAAATAATGTCTTTAACAATATTTCAAATTAATTAAAATCGAATAAGAAGTTCGATTTTTCAATAAATCTTACTTTCAATATAGATATATTAGTATTATTAGGTCGAATAATATCATTCATTTCTTTGATTCTTAATATACCAAGATATAACGATTCAAGTTCTTTGATAAGAGCTCTTTAAAAACCTTTTGACCCAACTTTTTTCCATTCCGTTTTTATTCTTCCTTTTTATTGAAATTTATAGTACTATACATATACTAACTCTGATGACGTATATGCATAAGAAAGTTTAGAAAACTTGAAATTTCAGATATATCTTCACTTCTGAAGTAATAATACACTATTTGAAAATACTTAAATTTAAATTAATTTAATGAAATTTTTTTTCTACTTTCTTTTAAAGCCGCGATTTGACCTAATTGCAGGAAACAAATAATATAAACATGTATAACAAACATGTATAACAAATCTCGTTATTATATTTTTAAAAAAAATGATAGAATGATAAATGTTTATAATTATAATCTTATATTAAACTTCTATCATAATTTAAGTTTTTTCTGACTTATTATTAATTTAAAAACCAAAAATCTTTTGAAAGGTGTTATTAGATTGTGGAATTTTATATAAATATATAAATTTATCCAAATATATAATTAATATATATAGAAAATATATCATATCATTTAAAATAAATATATATTAAATAATAAAACTTATATATATATATTTTTGCAAAATATTAATAATCATATTATTTAAATTTATCTATTCTAATTATAATTTGCATTTTAGTATATAATATTTCTTTAAAAAAATTCTTTAATTAATTAAATTAAAGATACAATATATTAATATCGTTTGTGAAAACTGAATTTCATTATATAAGAAGTAATGAAATACATATTTTGCATTAGTTAAAATTTTTTAAATTTTTACAGATATTATGATAATTTTTTTATTTAGAATATCATCTTTTATAATATATTTCTTCATTTCTCTTCTATCTAACTATAATGTAACAGAATTGAATATAAGAAAAAAAAAACATATTCATTTATATTATTTATGCAAGATATGCAAAACATATGAAAATATAAAAATATATTTTCGCATAAATATCGGGGATATTAATGCAAATTTATATTATAATGAATATGATAAAAAATAAAGCATAAATAATAATTTATTTCATTTAAATATAATTAATATTTTTATATATTCCATATAGATTTTTGATCTTTTATGTTTCTTATAAATACATAATTCACAATGTAATGATAAAATTTTATAATAATTTAAATTGTTATTGAAGATATACCAAAAAATTCATACGATATCATTATTGAATGCGAACTTATTTATATTCGAATGAGAACTGGTTTTCATGTCGATATAGGACTCCAATATTTATACTAATTTGAATAACTTATAATTAAAAAAAAAAAAAAAAAGCATATATGAATGCATATATTAAGATTATCAACGAATATTTTGATAAATAATATATAATATAAAATATTCTTATTTGATCTTGAAAAATATCTTAAAATTTGTTAAATTTGACAATTATAACATACGATATTTTACCAATATTATTTATGAAAAAGAAAAATAATATTCATTTTCACATATGAAATTTACATTTTTTATATGAATAAATTTATAGTATCAAGTATTATTATTATTCATTTTTTATTTGATTATTTTTTTAATAAATATTAAATATGTACAATAATTTAATGAATTAAATTCAATGAATTTAATAATTTACAAAAAATATATAGAAAAATTTAATAAAACAAGATATATGATTAATAAAATGAAAATGTACAATGTACATGCAAGTTTTTCATATGCTAGAAATTTAATCTTGTATATACATATTTAGAAAATGTATGAAAATTATAAAGCACGAATATTCAATGAATATTATGAATAGGTATTTGAGCAAATCGATAAATTGGGACTAAATGCAATTCACGGAAAATCAAGGTTTATTCCTCACGCCCATCTGTTAAATATTTAACTTATCGTAAACATTCATTTTTATTACTAGATTCAGTATAAGCGATAGTTGCTAATATTGGCAAAATTTCATGCATGTTTGAGATAATAAATAAATTATTTAGAAAAAAAAAAAAGATTATATTTTTAAGTATCAAAGATATATACTATGAAAGTATTTGAACGTTATTTTGAATAAAATTTAAAATTTTTTGAATATGAGGAAAGAATTTGTCATATATGGAATAATTTTTTTTTACCAAAAGTAAAATTACTTTAAGAAAATAAAATTAACATTTAAATTTTCACTGCACTTTTTTGTTTTTTTATATATAATCTATATTGATGTAAAATAAAGCAAAAACTTTGAATTACAAAATATATAGAATTTAGTATTTTTAACATTCTGTGGTAAAAAGAAATTCCAGGCATGTACATACGAAATTTTATTTAAAATTTAATGAAATACTGGAATTTTGGGAGTTGATTTCATTCCCTCAAATAAATTTTTCGTCGATAAAAAATTGCTTCATAACTCATTATGTTTCACAAATTTTCAATGCAATCAAAATTTTTATAAGAAAATTTTCCTATAAAATAATATTCAAATGCTTTTGCATGAGTCATTGTAAATAAAGCAATTTTATTTCACGTCCCTTTCTTGATATGAATTTCAATTTATTAAAAAAAATTATATTTATATATAATATATATAATATATAAATATATTGGATAATATACCCCAATATGATTTTCAATCGAACTTACCTCGAACACACCTGATGTAATTGTTGAACTCTTTTTGCAACCTATTCGCGGCATTTTGTTGTCTCATGAAATTCTGCAAATGTTCGTCGAATATGTCATCTGCGGTTCTATCCACTTTGCCCAAATTTTGAAGAAACTATAACGAGAAAGAATAATCTATTGCATTATCAATTGCATTAAAATTATTACATATTTATTTAATATTTTCAGAAGAGAAATAGTCCAATTGATATAAAATTACGTAATTAATAACCATAGAGGTTTAGAGGTTATAAACTTCAATAATTTAAATGCATAATTTCATACAGCATAAAACTATTAAATTTTTATTCTAATGATCTTCTTATTATAAGGAAATAAGAAAATTCGTATTAACATTTGAGAAGTATTTTCACCTTGAAAAATCGAATTAAATGTTAATTCCAACTATTACACGATAATGTATACGTTTAACCTCTTAAATGATTATACTTAAATGTTATATATCTTTATGTTACATGACTTATTTTATAATTTGTCATGACCAAAGATCACATAGCAGATTAATATAATAATGTAAAAATATAATAATAATAATAATAATGGATCATTTATATCGTTAACAAATAAATCTTCGGTGATTATATTATTTTATAAAACATTATTTTACACGATAAGACTTATTTTAATATCTCTCAAATCTTATTTCTAACCATGAGATCTGCCTCGAATAAGAAATTAGATAGATATTAATTAGCATCGATAGATATAATATTTTTTAACACTAAAATTTATTATTTATTTCACAAATGAATTTTGTGAAAATAGTTATATATGGTGTAATATTATTTATTCTATGCTGAATTTCAAAAAGTTTATAAAATTGAGATCGATTATAAGAGAAGTAAATAACTTATGCGAATTCAATTATAATTATAATTATAAGGCCTTCTGTTACAAGGCCACATATGTTTTCATAGAATGGTACCAAGAGGGTGGCAGCATATTGAATGTATACGTGTATGCGTGTGATCGATCGTATAAATCGATTACTAATTGGTGAACTTATCGAGAAATTTCTCGATTTTCTTCAAGAATTAATGTATTTATATATAGACGAATGATTGAAAGTTGATCATTATAAAAATAATTATAGATAAAATGAAAATAATATACGTTTATATATTTGAATAAAAAATAACGAAAAACAAATATCTTATATAAAATAACGAATATAATTAAATATATATGTTTCTATTTGAATAAAAATTTGATATTAATTTTGTCAAAAGCGCATTTTTAATAATTGCGAACAGAAAATAAATTTAATAATTGTAAAAATCTGAAATCAGTCAATTTGATTTGATTTGATGGTATATAGTGATTTTGAAATATATTGTATAAAAAACGAATATGTGGAAAAAACGAATATATTCATTTTGAATCGTTTGTATAGTAAATCTAATGAATATAATTCAAAAAAGAGTATAATTTTTTTTAGAAAAATTCAAAAATTCTTTATGAACGTATAAATGAATTATGAATTTATTAAACATTAAAAAATATTAATAAAAATAAATGAATAATTAGCAAAAATTCTTAAAGGGATAAGATTTATGTTAGATTTTTAATTCAATATAAAGAAATTTATTGTTGTACAGTGTAATGGCAAACATACAATCTAAAACAAGTTCAACACGTGTTACATTAAATCTTGGATACAATGATAATCTCATACTAAGTTAAAATAGATTGTGTAACACATATAATAATAAGAAGAATCAAGATCATTGAGATTTAACGAATTTTTTTTATTATTTTGATATAAGGAATTTTAAGGAGATTTATCATAGATGATGGATTCAATTTTAATTAGCTCGAGTAAAAAAATTAAGTAGTATCTTGTTGTAAAATGATCTGAGATATAGAGTACTTTCAATGAACTGGCACAGATTTGGCTAGACGAAAATGCCAGACTACAATCCCTATGTCAGAGCTTATAATATCTCAGAACTATGCCAAAACATATGCATAATAATATATGATGTGAAAAATATTTTTGAGTATATATCTCGAAAACTGTCTAGTGCTTATATAATAAAAAGTTAAAAAAATATTCGAAAAATGAGCCTGACTTATCGAAAAGAAGATAAATCATAGCGATAATTATATAGAATATCCAATATATCTATTTTTTAAATTTTCATAATAGTATTTATATGTATCATAATATACTTATTGTTATTAAATACATAAGCGAGAATCGTAGCGAAAATTAATAATAAGATACCCTATATATTTATTTATTTTCATCATACAACTTTATTTATTTTATTTGTACATATAATATGTTTATATTCAACAAATATAAGTAATACAAAACGAAGATAAAAAAGAAAGATAAATCATAAATAAATGTAGATAATTATATTTATTAAAACATTTCATATATATCTAATTATTTTCACGATAATTTAACTTTAATAATCGGTGCATAATATTATTAAGTACAACATAATAGATAATAACAAAAAGAAAGTAAATCTTAATTATATGGAATGCTCTATTTCTTTAATTATTTTCATAATAGTTTAATTTTAGTAATCCATGCATAACTTACTTATTCTTAAATACATAATCTTAAATATAAATAATATGAAACAAACATAAACAAATTAACAGTTACATAGAACATTCTATATATTTGATTTTCAAAATAGTATTCTATACATAATTATTATTAAATATCTAATCACGAATGCAAATAATATGTTAAATATAAATAACAATAATATTTTAATTTTATTTATATCATTTGTGCATAAATATTCTCTAGCTAAACATCGAAACATGGAATATCCTAGAGTTATATCTAGTTATTTTCACAATCATATGTGTAATACACTTAGGTACATATCATAGGTTGGTAATTCTAATATTAATACGCCCTCTAGATTGAGACTGTGCACGGTTACTTTGTCTCCTTACTGTCGCTTCCCATTTTATTTCACGGAATCATTCTCGTGTTCTAACGTGACTTTCAATTCGTTTTAAAATAAGAGCTGCCATTCATCTTTGTTCAGTATTAAACGTAATAGACGCTAAATTACACGAACGTCGCCATTACCTTGTCACTTGTATCCTACACATTGCGCGATCCATTGCCGTTAGCTCCGCGAAGATTTGCATTGAAGAGAATCGTGATAAAGGGGAGCTTTATGAAGGTGCTGCGAATTACTCATGAGCTATCATATATTCGTGACTTAAAGGCGGATTTTTATTGAAATTTGATGCATGAAATAAATCGTTCTTAATTACTGATGAACAAATTGAAAATTTGTTACGTTTTTTTTTAAATTTAAAATTACTTTGAATTAAATTTTGTAATAAACAAATAATGTGTATTATGTACAATGGCGAGCATATAAAAGAAAATGCTTATTTTTAATTCAAATAATATTATCAATTACTGTTTTGTAACAATAATTTCATTTTAATTTCATTATATGGTATAATATAATATAGAATTAGAATGATATGTATGAAAAAAAAATTGAAATATAAAAATGTCGCTTAAGTCTTATATTTGTAACTTATTTATTAAATTATAAATAATTTAAGTTTGTATTAGATGAAATAAGATAAAGAGATAACATAACGAAGATAAAATTATATCGCTATAATATAACTCTTTAAAAATGTTCTACGAATATATTATATATAATAATATATATAAATATATATAATAATTATATATCAATGTATAAAATATTACAAACTTTTTTTTTAATATTTTAATCATTAATATTCTGACTATTGTACATTGTTTATTTATTATAGTATGATAAATAATCTGCAATGCAAAAACTAATATTTTTTCTTTTCAATATTAGTTTTCCTTTAATTCAACATGAGTGTCCTACAGAATTCTTGGATTTTGTACTTTAATTTGTACTTTAATTTTTAATGAAAAAAAAATATATATATTTTCATTGTATATTGTATATTTCATTGTATATGTATTATATATTTTTATTGTTAGTTTTATGAGTTATAAATTATCATTTTACTAATTTTAAGCAAGTTTAATGTTAAGCAAGTTTTTCTTGTAAAAATGAAATTTTTACAAGAAAAGATAAAGAATATTCTAGAATATAATCAGAACATCAGTTTTGTAATAATTTTATACATATCCACAGATGTATTAATTATATTTATAATTACATATAACTAAATTAATCATTGAAATGAAATCATAAATGAAACAATATTATAAATTATTCTATTAGACTTATCATATTTTTTGTGTCAACGTGTTCGTGTAACATTGCAATAATTTTACAGATATCACTTTTCCTCAATTACATATATCCATCAATTATACTGAATTACTATGAACAAAGATTATATCTTGCACGGAACAAATAAATAAAGCAGATATAAAGAAAATTATTAAAATATTCGATAAGAGAACAATCAGGATTGAAACCAAAGAATTCAATATAACAGAGATTTTATTACTTAAACCTAAAAATTTTTATTCTTTATAACGCTTAATATATAAAATTAATTTTCAGATTACAATTTTTTTTTTATAGATAATCAAAATTCACTAATTTCGTCATAAAAAAATAGGTGATTAAAACGGAAAAGCAATTATCATCCGTATCGATAAATGAAACTGTGTAACGTATCTATTAAATATAATCTTATCCATAATAATTACAGCATAATGATGCACTTATGTTTACGTCATTTTGATAACCAGCAGTTGGTACGATATCTGTATCCCGCACCATTATCCAGCGAACCTCCTCCAACGCTATTTATAAATTCAGCTCGTCAAATAGCAATTATTTCCAGTAAATTGGTCTAATATCTTGGCAAATTTCAAATGAAAATAAAATAAAAAAAATTTCACGAAAAACGTACGCGCGTGGGCAACAATCGCAATGATTCGATTTTGTTACATCCATATTTGAAACGAACAACAACAAATTTGACATAATGTGGTTGTGTGTGTGTGTTTTTTTTTCGTATCATCGATCAATTACGGTTATTTTTCTTTTTAACTGTGACTCAACTAAATTTGAAGTTTGATAAATGACTGAACTTTGTTTTGGGACAGTGAAGAATCCTCTATTTGTTCAGAATTGA